TAATCCTATGGAATGGGAATTAAGGATGTTCAACCCTCTCCAGTGAGACATCGTTGGCTTCCTGCCCTTAGGGATGTAGTTAGCTCACGATCTCCCTTTCCATGATAAGCTTTGCACTCCCAGGCCTTTCTCTCTCCCCACAAAATTCATAGCACAAGATCCTGAGGTGACTTGTTCAGAGTAGTTGCCTTGTCCTCCCTACTGTGGAGGAAGTTTGTGGTTTGGCAGCTCACCAGCTGTGAATCATTTCTGTGATTGCTGGCTTGATTACACACCCAAATGGGTAATTACAGATTAATTTTGAGGCCTGAGCTTGAGAGATGATAGAAGCTGATAAGCCAGTGAGTGCAACAGGTCTCCTTAAACAGAGCTGCAATGCTTGCAAATGCTTTGGGGAAGCTGTAGTAATGCTCAGAGCCCATCTGCAAATCAGCCGTAACACAGCTGTCTAGGTAATAAAGACCTTCTGGGGGATGGTGCATTGTCAGTCTTACATAGCTATGCTAGGACTTCTTGCCTCATGTGCTTGGGAAGAGATGGGGAGAATCAGGTATATGCCCCACTTTGCCACTGTGAGCAGATGGATAGGAAAGGATAGGAAGAGAAGGGAACTAAGCAGAGTCTTGACTATGCTGAATAAAACTGTCCATTGCTTTGACCAAAGCACAGTGAATTATATACACAAACAGGGAATGCTATACTGGCTCCTACTTGTAGTCCATCTATTCCAATTCCTGTCTCTGGTAGCAGTTAGTACCAGCTGATTCATAGCAAGATTCAAAAAACCACATGACAGACAGATATGTAATATTCCCCAATCCTAATTATGAGACTGGCTTAAACTGAACATCAGGAGGCTTTATATCAGGGGTGGGCAAAATGTGGCCCAGGGCCCAGATGCAGCCTGCCAAGTCATTCTATCCAGCCCATGGGGCCCCTAAAAAATTTAGAAAGTTAATATTTATCTTTCCCTGGCTGCCTGTCATGCAGCCCTCGATGCCTTGCCAAAACTCAGTAAGCGGCCCTTCGCCTGAAATAATTGCCCGCCCCTGCTTTATCTTCTTTTTTTTCCCTTGTACACTAGCTATTACAACTCTGACTATTCTTCTTTACACACCAGTTGGATCTCTTTGGAACGCACTGGGTGCATCCACGCATGTGCATTAGCCTATTTTACACGCATTAAAGTGTCACAAAACAGTGTGCTTTCTCTAATGCACATTAAAATAGGCTGATGCATCTTTTTCTAGTACCTCACTATGGAGGTGCTAATTTTAATGTGCATTAGCAAAAGCACATTAATAAACATGTAGACGCACCCACTGAGTTCTTGCTTGTGGTAATCAGTTCCACCAGCTAATTGCATGCAAATAAATGGGAGAAAGGGGAAAGGCTGTTTTGACTGGCGCCTCTCCATTTTGTTTCCTCTTCCGTTGGTCTTGTACAACCTCTGCCCCAACTCCAGAGCAAAGGGTAGGACTCTGACTGACACACAGTATCTTGGCAAAAGTGCAGCTAGACTCTGTTCTTTATACAGGGTTTTGCCCCTAATGGTTCAGGCAGACCCTTAGAGAACACGCCTTCCTGGAGTTCAGTGAAGATCCAAGGAAACATACAGGTCCTTGCATATGAAGGAATCTAAGTATTATAGAACTGGAAGGGAATTATCAAGGCCAGGCCCTTGGAAATGGAAGCAACAACTGGTATTAGATCCAAAAGGGCCCACAGGGTCATCCACTTGTTATGCCTGGATTTCATTCCCTATTTTTAGGGCAGAAGCACAGCAGCCATCCTATTCTAGCAAAACTGAGCAACCTGTTGAGAAGTGAAGACTAATTCTCTCTTGAAACTAGTCAGACAATTATTTGACTACAGATTCATTTACCAATGAGTGGAATTCAATGCTTCATTGATTTGTTTGTGTTGCTGTAGCATTGGATGGGGCGTGGCGATACCACATCAGCCGTGGGTCTTCTGGAGGATAGGACTGAGCATGCTTCACCTACCTATCTATTTATATCTTCCTTATTAATGTGGGCCTTAAGGCGCACCCAGCTAACTAATAGACCCTTTGTGGGGCCAAAGGGTGAAAGATACAACTAATTTCTTAGGACAACAAAAGCAAAAACAGGATAGGAATGACATGGGGCAGAGGGTCAAAATGTGAAAATAAGTTCTCCGGAGGGGGACACTGAGCAGACCCCACCCCCCGGGCTGCACCCACCAGTCTTCAAAGGCATCCAAGGAGACAGTGGATGCTACCCAGTGGTGCTCTGCTTGGAAACATGCATGGATGAGTGACAGGAAAGCAGCCTTGTGGTCCCCAAACACCTTCCTGGCCAGAGTCTCCTTCTTGGTCAAGTACAGGGTCCACTTGGCCAGGGCCAGGAGAAGGTTGGCCAGGAGGTCCTGGGACTTGGTGAGGACATGGATGGGGTGCCTAAATATAAAAAAGTGGGGCATGAAGTTCAACCAGAACCTCAGGAGGAGGTCCTGAAGGTGGAGGTGGAGGGGCTGCAGCCTGCTGCACTCAAACATCACGTGTGCCAGGGTCTCCCTGTGCCTGCAGAAGGGGCAGGAGACCGGTATGTCTGAGAAGCTTGTCACATACATCCCCATGGTGATGGCTCCATGGAGGAGCCACCAGCTGAGGTCTCCAGTGGCTTGTGGGTTGACGGTGGAATACAGATTCAGCCACTGAGGTGCCCCAGCTATGCCTTTGCTGAGCAGGTCCCGCCACTTGGTGTCTGGGCAGGATGCGAGGGTGGCGTGATGGGTCGTGCAGTGCATGAGCGTGTAGAGGTGGTGGCAATGGATGGTGAAAAAGCGAACAAGTTTGGTGTCCTCCAGCCAGCTCAGGTGGTGGCTTCACATACCTGAGTGTGCTGTTGCTCTCCAGAGCTGAAAGTTTGCTCATGAGGCTGCTTTAGGCGTATCCCAGTTCCTGCTCTTGGATCCAGCAGGGACAGGTGTGACAGACTACGGTTTTGTTGCAATGTTTCTGGTTTAAAGGTGTTTATCCTAATATAATAAAAGCCTTGTCTGGTTGTGTGTCTGTCTGTAACACTCTGGGCCAACTGCGCATGCACTGCCAAGAGGGTAGGCACTGATTGGCTGGCCCCAGCAGGTGCAGGCACAACTTTATGCCAGGGCTCAGGGGAGTGGGAGGATGTGGTCAGGGGGCAGGGAGCTGCCGTGTGCGGTGATTTCCTGCCCAACAACAGCCGGCAGGGAGGGGAGTGGGGCGTGGGAAGGGGAGGCAGGGTTGTGGGGGTGGCCCACAGCTGCTGCCACCAGCACCACCACCACAAGGGCCAGGGAGGACTGGTGCTGAGGCTGTGCTGGGCTGAGCCCGGTGCGGGACAGGCTGTGCTCCGCCTGGGCCAGGTCATGGGGCCATGGGAGCCCGGTGGCTTCTCCAGCAGTGCAGGTGGGTGGCTCCAGCCACTGCACACATTGTGAGGAAGACAGGAGTGGGGGGCATGTTCTCCCTCTTTGCTCCCTGGTACCGCGCCCCTGATTATCCCACAAACCAGCCCGGCCAAGGTGCTGTCACGGTGAATGGGGCCGCAGCTGAGCCAGGCTTTAGGACACTTGGCACCCAGCGGCTCCTCCAGAGACAGTGCTGGCGAGCCCAGGGGGGCACGTTGCCCCCAGTCTGTGCACAGGGCAAGAGTGGCTGCAGTGGTGGCCTCAGCTGCACCTCTGCTCCCTGCCTTGCTGCAGCTACTTCCACAGTGGTTAGGTGCCATGTGAGTCCCACTGTGGGGCAGGCTGGGCAGCAAGGCACATGTGTGTGACATGGGGCTGGGTGTGCGGGGGTGGCATGGGGCTGGTTGGGGGTGGTGCGCAGCATGTGGCTGGGTGTGTGTATCACGTGTGGCGTGTGGCTGGGTGTGTGGCAAGTGGCATGTGGCTGTGTGTGTGCATGTGGCGTGTAGCACATGGCTGGGTGTACATGTGTGGTAGGTGGCTGGGTGGTTGGGTGTGGGTGGCATGTAGCTGAGTGGGTGGGTGTGGCATGTAGTGTGTGGTTGGGCATATGGCTGGGTGTGTGTGGTGTGTGGCTGGGTGTGTGTGGATAGGTGTGTGGAGTGTGGCTGGGCATGTGGGTGGGTGTCTGAGGTGTGGGGAGGGCACACGGGGCTGGACACAGAGGGGGTGGTTGGGAGGGTTGTGCGTGACCAGATGCCAAGTGGCAGCAGCACAGGGAAGTGGGTGGCAGCGCTCTCTCCCCTCCGCCCGCCCGTCATTTTGCATGCCTCAGTTTCCCTGACCAGCTTGTCCACAGGGAAAAGAGAGGTTAACGGTGTTTGAAACCAGAGCTGTAGAGCGCTGCTTGAGCGCTCTGATAGTGGGAAATGGGCCATTAGGCAACAGGGAGCTAGTTTGCTTGTTTGGACGCATATGGACTCAAGACCAGCACCAGAAGAGACTCCATGCTGCTTCTGATGCCAGGGAAGGACAATGCAGAGAGATCCTCTTGAAAAAGGAGCTGCTCAGAGACAAAGAGGATGGAGAAAGGCAGGAGAAGGGGAGCCTGGAAGGCTAGAGAGTACCACCAGCACTGTGTTGTCTTTTACAGACTGTCTGGGGAGTTAGCTTAGGCATTATGGCTCACGGACTCTGCCCTCGGCTGACCAATACACGTTGCTTTTGCTTGCGAAGAGCTGACTGCTTCACTTCATAGGGCTCTGAATGCCTTCAGTCTCCTCAAAAATGTAAAGTCCCTCCCCAGCAGTGGAGCCAGAAGGGAGCTTTCTTAGGAGGGCCATGGGTGATCATGGAAGGCAAGTACCAAAAGGCTGAGCGTCCAAGGAGGAGCCCGGACATCATCTTCTGTAGAAGCTACGCCAGAGCTGGCTTCAGAGGGTACCCTCAGAGGCCATGTAAGGCTGGGGGTCCCGGGCACGTGCTTCCCTGGGGAGTCTAGGGGCAGGCACTGGGGATAAGCCCTGAGCTGTCCTTATATTGCAGACTATCAGTTCAATCTACCTTGTGTCCAACCAGGGCAAGTCTAATTAAAACAGTATAGCTAAAAACAGCGTTCAGAGCGTGGGATGTACCCTTCAGAAAGAATAAAGTGTATGATGGTATATTTGCCTTCGAGTCCTTCCAAGGTCTTCCTGGGGTTTGCAACCCCTTCTAGTGGCCTGGCATCACATCTGACAGGTTTCCACAAAACACTTTTTACTTGCAAACCTGAGGGATGCGAGAAACTCCAGCAATTTGTAATTCAGAGGAGACCCTTCAAGAAAAGTCTGAGTGTGCAGACTGTGTGCATAGATAGCTCCACATATGCGAATTCCCTGCACAGAGACAGACTGAAAACCAATTCCAGGAAAAAGACGTGTCGGGACTGTAATGCCTGCAAGTGTCAACAAACATGGTCCCTTATAATAAGAACGTCTTCCTAAATAAGGATCGCTTGCCACCAGGACATTTAGGTGGGTAGGATGTCCCTTTACACAACCTCTGGATAACCGCACACTTGAAACCTATATTTTGTTACCATCTTGAGACTGGCAGGCCATCTTGTGAATGGGCACAATGGCATCCAAGCAGATAGCTAGGAGCACTGGCGTGCCGGTAAAACCAGTGAGCTAAGCAAGTCTGAGTGTTAAGGGGTCTGGGGACTGCTAAATAGCAGCCTGCTGGGAATTTCTGCAATGATGACTTAAGGGATATGCCACTGCCACAAGAGATCAGGGATGGATTAACTCTAAAAATTAAAAAATAGTTTCTAGAGCCCCTTAATGTTGAGCTCTCAGCCAGGGTAAAATAGGATTATTAGTATTCGGGGGAGAAGGCAGAGATGCCTTAGGATAAACCTATTAATCCCCAGCAGCTCTCTGCTGCACACGTGCTTACTCAGCCTGCTTGGCAGTTCACGGCGACTAGCCTGCCTGAGCGTAGGGGCTACATTCACAAGACTGCTCTTGAAAAGCAAGAAGCATTGTCTGTCCTTTAAACCCAGGAACTGCTATCCAAAAGTGCAGTATTACGGCCCTCGAGCAATTACACAGGGCATACTTGCAGCATGCACCCAGGGTGGGCAGCTTTCTGTTCCTAATACCCTCTCAGTCTGCGAAACGAGATTAAATTATTTTTTTTAGTGTTACCTTTAGTGTTACTCCCCTTCTCACCCCCCTTTCCGCTTACAAGACTCCACACTGCGACCGCCTGAAGTAAATCCAAATCTTCTGTTGCTCTGAACTGCACCAAGCACACAAGTGTCTCGTGAGAAGCAAAGGGTCTTGCTTTCCACGTCCATAAGTCCCCTGATTTTGTGAGGAATTAGCTCCTCGGCATAAATTAGAGGAACCCAAATGGGCTGTCCCTAGCAACCAGGGATTACCGGGGTGTAAGGATCCCTCAGACGTGCCTGTTCCCCTCCCCGAGGAATGTCCCCTGCATTCAGGATTAGGAGCAGTATAAATAGAGCTGACAATATAAAGTATTAAAAATGTAATACATAATAATACATTATATAAATGTAAATAATAGAAATATGCATATATAAATAAATCAATCAAAGCTGTTTATAAATATAAATCGGCTGACAATATCAATAAATAGAGCTGCCAGTATAAATAGAGGTGACAGCTGGACATCACACAGGGATTTTCCCAGACCCATTATAGCTTCGTCGCTCTGCAAGAACAACCGAAGCAGCTATGGTGGGGAGGGGTGAGAGAAAAGGGCAGAGTTTGGTCCTTTTGCCATCATTGCTCCTCAAAGGATATGGACTCACCCGAGCTAGAAAAGTATGGGTCTTGGACATAATTGCAAGTTTTTCCCTGCCAGTCTGCGCTAAGAACTGGGAAGATAAAGCTGCTCATTCACAGCAGGAACCAGAAGAACTTATAACCAAAGGGAACACGTGGGATTCCCCATCGGGTGAAAAGCTACTTCCCTTGTCATCTGACGTGTGGGCGACGTCTTCTGAGCACAGCCATGGCAATCGGGCACCTCTGAATCCTAACTTGGACTAAGCCCGTTCTAATGCCTTATTAGCCAGCGATTTATGTGTGTAGCTGGAGCGCCTTGGTACCCCATCTGAGAGCAATGCCTCATGCACTTTCCAAACAGACAGTTACTGCCTCCAGATTTATCATCTAAACTGGGCACAACTGGTACAAGGTGGGCAGGGGAAGGGACACAGTGAGGTGAAGGGACTTGTCCTCCTTCATGTGACGGAGGTCGGTGGTGGAATTACGAGCAGGACTGAGATCTCCCACTTGAAAGACCTCTGCAGCAAACCATACCGTCTCCCATACAAAAGTTTTAAAAGAAATATAATCAAAAGGCATGTGGGTTGGGTTTTTTTTCTATTAACCTGGCATGAGAGCAGCCACAGAGAGCGCGGGAATGGAAGAGTTATATAAGTATCAGATGCAGAGAGCAAATACACCAAGTTCCTTCACGTGAGCGAGAAGTCTAGCTCTCACATGGAAGGACACAGATGACTTCCTCAGATAAGTCGCACCAATTAGGGTAGTTTAAGTGATGTTCTTCAGAATATGAGACATTCTCTCAAATTGTTTTTCTCCAGCTTAGTGAGCAAGGATATCGCTACTTTTGATCCCATCTCAGGTGGAACAGAAACAGAGCTTTTTTTGGCTAGCATATTTATCAGCTGGGCGTTTAAATAGAGTAGATGGTCTTGTCCAGGGGAAGGTGCAATACTTTTGGTGATCAGAGTGCCTACACAATTGGCTGGGAATGAGAAAACAATTCGCCGCTTCCAGGTTTATTGTTTTAATATATTTCATTTGTGAACCCGTTGAAAAATCAAGCTGGCTGATCTGAAGCGAGGCTGGAGAAAGCAGGAATTTCTTGCATAATTTATGTCTTTAATGGCCTATAGGTCTGCTCGGCTCAAGCCGTTGCTGAACAGTGAGAGCAAGGGCTGCAGAAAGAGAAGTCTTGCCATACCACATGAATAAATAAACACGAAATAATTTACTTCGGTTATCAATTAAAAATAGACTCGTTGTTCATTCCCAGCTTGGATGCTTCCTGGTTGTTTTATTTTAGACTCACCTCGAGACTCGGAGGCGGACATGAGCTAAGAAGGAATTAGCCTGGCAGATGTTTATCTTGCCAGCTGTCTCTTCCATTCCTGCAATGTGATGCTGCGAGTTAGCTCAGCCTGGATCTCCGTAACGAGCAGCTTCAGCTTTGTCACAACACCCTCTGCATGGGTTGGAGGTTCATCCAAAGTCCTCTTGCTTCCCTGGGCAAAAACCCAGAGCCTGTCATACACATGGGTGAATCCCGCCAGGAAAGACTAAAGCTAATGGAAAAACATTCCCATCATTCCCATACCGATGACAAACATCAGTAGCCCTGCAGAGTAGGTCTGCATCCCAGCAGCACGTGCCCAAGCACAGCTTGACCACCCATTGCCATGCACGTGGTCCAAGACCAGAACAATGCCGGTGATGGCACTGCAGAGTGTCCCAAGATCTTGGGCTCCAGCATGCTTGAGAGGTGTTTCCTGGGGACAACCAAGACATTTGACCTCTTTTTTAGCCGCACAGGGTGAGTTTGCACTGTGGTGGCACAATGTCCCAGTAGTCACTCCCAAGCTCACCCTGCTTTCCTAAGCCAATCTATTCAATATGAGGCTTGGGGTAAGAAATGCAATTGTGAGACCATGTCACATTGTATAAAGTCCACCCACAAGATACTTTGACCCAACTTTTGTCTCTTTTTTGGTAGTGACTGAGCTTGCCTGTAGAAGGCCCAAGGGATCCAAGCTGTCCCTGTGCCTGGAGCCCAAAAGTGCTAAAACGAGGCCTCCTCCCCCAAGGTCTGAGGGGGTAGGGGTGCAGCCCTGTTCACAGGGTGTGGGGGGAGGCCTTCCCAATAGTGCCAAGAGCATCTGGACCCAATGATCTCACAAGGTCCCTTCCAGCCCTAATGTCTGTGAAATCTATGAAATCCTCCATGTCTAACATAATATCCCCTTCTTATAGACAGGGGGTTAGCTGTGTTCATCTGAAGTCAAGCAGATAGTAGGGCAGGGTGGCACCTTAGATACTTAATCAGGTTGTGTAGGCAGTGGCCTGCTTCCTCACATGCTACCATCTGATGAAGCATCTAAGGAAGTATGCTGTTGCTTATGAAAGCTTTATGACTTGACACTCTGAACGAGTTAGTCTGTAAGGTGCCAAGCTGCCCTTCCTTCTGCCTTTTACTGTAGAGTTGAAATCAGATCCTCTGGTACCTGATTATGGCACACAGAACATAAAAACATAACTTCTAATTTTCTTATATATTCATATGATTATGGTGTTTGCCTACTGGGGAGGCATCCTTCCTAGAAGGGTGAGCTGAACGAAGCGGTGTTTTCCAGCTTCACAGTAGATAAGGAAGCATCTTTTCATAACATCCTTCCAGTGTCCTTAAGACTTTCTTGTATGTCTTTCTGTTCCAAAGTAAAGAGGAGAGCCAGGTACCTCCTCCTGCAGGATAGGCCAACTCATTTGGGGTTTTTTTGCAACATTTGTACTTAAATCAGGAAGCTCCCCTAAGATTTTGTTTGAGGTCCTTTCCATTCTTGTAGCATATTCACATGGTAAATTTGTTTTTTGAGGTTCCTGTCAGGGAATGGACTGGGGGCATGAATTCCTCAAGATTTCAAGGCGGCCTTGCTACTCAGCTGACAGTTTGCTTTTGTAAGACAGATGGGAACAGGCACGATGCTAATTGTTCCAGTGCAAATTCCTTTCTTCTGAATTTATGATTACATTGGATCTTTTGTTTGTTTTTTTTATTCTGGGATTAATTATCTATTCTCTCTATTGATTTGGTTTTATTCTGCCCCATCTCTCTCACTATGCAGTTGTTGCTCGTCAGCTACAGTAGAAGTCAGAATCTTACTGATGCCCAAGTCAATTCATATAGGCAGCCACTTGCAACTGTGTTAATCTTTTTGCAGCCTGTATTTTAAGACCGTAGGTCCCAACGTAGCTGTTTAATGACTTCAGACACAAAACTTGTCCCCTGGTCTGTTAAAATTGCCTCTGTGACCCCAACCTATGCACATATCAAGACTAAAGCCATAAAAACTTGGTGGCTTTATAAGTATCTCAGGGAAAAGAAGTCTAGATATCAAGTTGGGTAGTCATTCACCACCAAGATAACAGCAGTCTTGCAAGTGACTTCCAAAGGACCTGCTATGTCCATGGCTGTTAGAGAAGAATTGCCATTACTGGGTGATATGTCTGGTTGGTCTTTTCCTTTCCGGGGCTACTTTCTGCCATATAAGACTGCCTCTGAGATAAATCTGCTCTTGTTGATACATGCCAGACCAGGCATCCTGGCCCACCATGCAGTAACCTTTAGACTGGAGCCCTGTGCGAGCACACTTAATTAAACATATTTCATAGCTTATCTCAACCATCAATTTAAAACATAGTGCATGTCCATTTCCAGCTCTGGTGCTTCCTCTTTGCTGTATTTTAGAATCAGCTTGAGACTCACAGGCGGACATGATTTAGCAAGGAATTAGCCTGGTAAATATTTATTTGGCTGGGGCTGTCTAATTTCGTTCCTGAAATTTAATACTCTGTGTTGTCTAGGTCTGTTCTTTTCTTCTTTTTTTAACGAACAGTCTAATGGATTTAGGTTTTTTATCAAGCCAATCAGGGAACAATTCCATAACGCATTAGTGGACTGTTTCTGATTTATCCTTTGGTTTTGTATAATAAATTATATGTATATATACAGATAAGTAATCACTTAATCAGTTGGTAGGTCAGCCAGAATGCCTTGCAACTGAGGCTAGTGCTATAATGTCCTTACAACAATGCGGGCTGATCACAGTGGTATCTTTAAAACATATGCCTGGATGTTTATGATAGGCCCTAATTCATCAACGCATTCCAGCACATGATTAAGGATCCAGGTTATAACTCTGGCGCATCACTTGTAAACAGTGAATATAGGGAATAGAGCCTGGAGGTTAAGAGCAGGGGCCCAGGAATTAGGGTGACTGGGTTTCATTCACCTAGGGTTCAGTATAACTTTGGGGTCAGTTACTCCAATGACATGCCATGCCTCTGTTTTCCTTTGTACAACATGGGATAATGGTAATGGTCGTGCAAGAATGACACGAAGTTAATTACTTAATATACATGAAGTTCTAAGAGATCTTCAGGATCAAGAATCTGAGGTTCAGTGCCACGAACCCCTCTCCCTCCCCACTCCCTCTCCCTCCCCGCCCCTTTTGCACCTTGGTTTATTTCTACAAAACCATCCATAGTCCTTATTTGCAAAGCTGGAAGAGTTGTGACTGGCACTAGGAGCACAGAGGCCTTTGTTCCTCTCTGATGACTGGGGGACTTAATCTATCATTACTGGATGCATCTACCTGCACATTAATGTGCCGCAGTCATTACTGGATGCATCTACATGGGCATTAATGTGCCATAGTCATTACTGGGTGCATCTACATGGGCATTAATGTGCCATAGTCACAGCGCATTAAATTTAGGACCTGCAATAACAGGGAATAACTCAATGCACGGTAACTGGGGCTCTCGTGCAGGCCGTTTTAGTGATACTAATGCGCAGTACACTAATTCTACTGTGCATGAGTGCAGTATTATGGCTTTTGCCGTGATGCATTCATGCATAATAGATTAATTCAGTTTGCATTTAGTGCCCCCTGCCAGCTAGGGAGCTCATTTTTGACACCCCTGATAGCAGGCCATGCTTTCAGCTGGGAAGGCTCTGAGTTGGGCCAAACATGCTTGAATTCATCTGGATAAGTATTTCAGTCCCCAGCTCCTTGGCAAAGCTATTTTTATTTTATTTTATTTTATTTTGCCAATGGTTGTTTAACACAATCCAATTCATGAATAGTCTATGGAGCAGGAGCTAGGATTTCCTTTCCTCCCGGGTGAGAGCTTTCACCCTTCCTACCCTATAGATGTTTTGGATGCTCTCCTGGGAAGTGGAAGAGGTGAGGTTGAATCCCTTCAGTGAAGAGGATGTAAACCCCCAGCACTTCCCTGGGCAAGTGGTCTAGGATATTAGGCAAAAGCTGTGATCTACAACCACCAATCAGCTAGGTCCCTGCTCTCTGTGTCTGTAGTTCCCTGGGTCCTCCTTCTTCCCTTCTCTTAAAGCTGGGCACTATATTTGCCCTTTCCTAATCATCCAGGGCCTCTTCCCAATTGCCACAAGTTGTCAAAGATAATGGCCAGCAGCTCTGCAATCAAACCAGCCAATCACATCAGCCAACCTTGCCTAAAACAGTCACGGTATCTTGCTAGGGAGCAGGAGGTTTTGAATTGACGCTTAGATCCAGACTCACACTGAAGGCTGCCTCCACTTACACCAGTTGTAGATGGGATCTGGGTCATTTGAGCTGGGGAGTAAAAGGCAACCAGATATAATGCTAGCTATATCACTCCCTTTTGTGCCAATGGTTACAGACACTTGTGTACCTTACCCATGAAACCCTGATGGGTCACCTACATTTGAGAGGCACTTTGTCTTTGACCTACCAGTATTAAATCACCAGCCTATACAGAACACATTGCAATTGCTTATTCTTCCACAATCTCCTCTTTTCATATGGGCTTCTGAAGAGTAGTGGTGGCTAAGGGGCATTTTGCTAAGGGACAAATTGTACTGAGCAAAAACATTTATGTTGTGTGCTTGGTATCATCTTAGAGCTCTACTTATCATTTGACTAAAATGAACACATTGTTTCTTTTAGTCCTTACTCTAGCATTTGCTTAAAGCAGATGATTCATCCCTAGTCCCACACCAAATTACTACAGTATATCAGGTTGTCCTGACTTCCGTGGGTAAAGGATGCATGTTCTTTTGAACACCGTGATATGCCTCCGTGGTGACTGCACAATATGTTTTGGTCTTTTTTGCAGTTTAACACCATGTATTAGGCATATACCTGGCTCGGTCATCTGACCCCAGTGCTTTTTCCTGCCCAGGGCAGGGGGTTGGACTTGATGATCTGCTAAGGTCCTTTCTGACCCAAACACCTATGAATCTATTCATCTATTCGGGAGCTCCATGGACCAGGTATAGATCTTACACTTTTAAGTGTTCAGAAACCCGTATATACCTGTAACAGAACACAAGTTCAGCATATAGAGACTGGCTTAAAAATGGTGGAAACCAATCCAAGATCTGTGACCTCCCCGCACCAAAGAGTGAACATTTATTCTGTTTGCTACCAATCTAAACTACACTGCTTACAGAAAATCTCGGACCAGATCAGTTCCACCTTGGGCTTTTTTAATATCTGTACCTAGCCCATATGTATGTATCTACTCAGTGGGGGAGATCTACTGAGCAGATGTACTGCTACTTTGTGTAATGAACAATGAAATCATCTTACCCAAGAGAACAAGGTCCCAGGGTGAGCTCAGCCAGGCAGCAGCATGGGACAGCGTGGCTCCTTGGACACCATGGGATCCAGGCAAATGAAGCCCTCTCTGGAGGTAGCTATTTTGGAAAGGGGAAAAAGGCTCCCCCGAGATTATTTGAAAAGGGGAGATGAAGCCCCTCTGGAGGCAGCCCTCTTGGGGAAAGGGAGAGCGCTGACAGAGAGCTTTGGGCACAGCGTCCCGTCCTCCGAGCTGCTGGAGCCCAAGGAAAGCATGGGCTGCGCTGGGGCTGGGGGTTAGGAAGCTCAGCGCAGCGCCTCTCTTGCTCCTTTCCCCCCTGGAAGCCTTGTCCAAGGTGCTCAGAGGAGCACCCGGCCTTTCTGGAGACCCCCAGTGAGGAGGACTCTTCTTCAAGCCCCTGCGTGGTGTGAGGCACACTAGAGGGGAGGGGAACTGGGGAGAGATTGATTCAGCTCCCCATGAGCTCTGGCTGGGAGGCAAAGCTAGGGCAGGTTACCTTGCCAGCGCCCCTGGGAGAAGAGTTAAAACCCGAGGGAGGGGGCAAACTTTGACTGCCTGGCAAGCAGAGGTGTGCGGGCGTTGTCAGGGGAGATGGCCAAAATTGCAGCCCAGACCCTGCTCTTTGTGTGTCTGGAGATGAGGATCTGGGCAGGGTAAGCTGTTTTACAGGGATTTCGGCACCTGCCTGCAGCACAGCAACCCCCGGGGCACACCTCGTGCGACTCGCAGCAAGACTCAACCATGCTTCCTGCGGGACGGTGGTGGAAGCAGCTCTGCCTTCCTGGGCATCTGGTCTAGGCTACCCATGTACACATATCATCCAAGGCCATCACCATGTACAACGTTATTGACTGAGGGTGTGAATAAGTTTCTGACCATTTAGCAGTTGTGGTTTAGTTTCCTTTTCTTTAACCCTTTGTAAATAAAGTGTACCTAGTTGTAAATTGTGTGGTGTGTAATCGAAGGTCCAGGAGCGCTAGGTGCCTTCATGCGAGGGGAACCTCTCTCATTTCAGGAGGGCGGGCAGCTCCGGGCTGCGGTCCCCTCCAGGGATCCAGAGTTGGGTTGTGGCTTCACGGGTAGCTCCACAGCCAGGGTTGCATTTGTTTCTGGGGCTTTTCAGGTATTTCTCAGTTTGGCCTCCCTATACTCCATGGATGTGATAATGTGCAAAGAAAGCACCTGGATAAAGTGTAATAGCCAGGAGGAGAGCAGCAGTGAGTTTGATTTTGCTGAGTTCGTGTAGTTATTTCCATTGATTCTGAGCAGAATACCTCCACATCCCTGAACATGGCTCCAAACAAGCCCCAAACCTCAAAGTAATAATCAATGTGTACAGTAGATTTGCAGCTGGATTTATGATGAAACCTATGTGTCGCTATATTCAGCCTATTTTAGTACAGTCGCATATTGGCTCAGATTCACTCGTAAATGCCGTGCCCTTCAGGGGATGTTCTGCTTGTGACTTTGGAGTTTGTCACTGAACCTGAAACCAGTCAGGTTTTGCATGGGAGCTACATCTTTCTGAGAACACTGTGGGTGGCTCCGGGACATTGTCTATGTAGACATCTTCATCTAAGCTACTCGCATCTATCAGCAGCTTTCAACAGAGAACAATCTCTTCATTCTCATTGCAACACACTGCAAGGACTTTGAGCATCAAAACTTTGGTTAGCAAAGGAAATAGACCCAGGGTGGGCAAAATATGGCCCACGGGCCGGATCCAGCTCACCAGGCCATTCTATCTGGCCCATGGGGCCCCTAAAAATATTTGAAAAAATATTTATTGGCCTCTGACTGCCTGTGAAAATACGTTATAGTAGGCATTTGACTTCTAGTGTATGACTTGTTTTTTTCTGGTTCTAAGATGGCAACATCCCCTCCCCAAAGTGGTATTTGTGGGGGGCAAGGGAAGGGACTTCTGGTGGCAAAGGTATGGGGTTAGAAGGTGGGACTTCCAGTCCCAATATCGCAACTAGGGGGTAGGGCAGCTGTCAAGGGGCGCGGCTACCCATGCAGCCCTCGACAGCTTCCCAAAATCTGTTAAGCGGCCCTCCAGCCAAAATAATTGCCCTCCCTTGAAACAGACTGATATTTTGTGCCTTTTATATTTCGCCCACCAGTTTTGTTTGTTCTGCTGTTTGTGTTTTATATTTTCTTAACCCTGTCTTTTGTCAACTGGATGAATGTGTCTAAGATTATAAAGGTCTAACCTTTGTTGAATCCTGCCCCCTCGGGGCGTTGTAGTGTCCCCTATACCCCCTGGTTTATAACGGTTATGTTCCCAGTACTGTTCTCTCATTAAAAGGTATATGGTTAAGTCCCCATTGGTGGTCTGGCTCTGCTCTATATGGGGAGGAGAGTCATACACCTCCCACAGCGCTTGTGCACCTGCTTTGATCCCTTCAATTGGAGAGGGGGTACCTCTTGGAGAACCGCCCGGGTTACAAAAGCATTAGGTTTTTTATTCTGATATTGTCTACTTTCGCTGGGGATTCTGGTCATCTGCGTATAAGGTGTTGGGCATTTTGGTTGTTACTGTCAGTACAACTCCTTAGCAGAACAGGGGCCAGAAGGAGTTGAAACTTGCAGTCTTTGCAAAAATATAAATGACGCATAATTCAGTTTTGTGAAGGTTATCCTTCTCTCCAGCCCATGTTCTGGCAAATCAAACAGGCTTTGTACACAGAGCTCATTTTGGAAGCAAGTGACCGAAAAGGAATGATATGTTATTGTTAGATTCCAGTCCCCACCCTGGAAATCTTGGGGTTGAAGTCCTGACACTTCCTGGGCTGGGACATCTGATTTACTGAGTCAAGTTTCCATGAGTTCGTATCACCATACCTGATGAGAAAAAACAGTCTGTCTAGTTCCCATGTGCCTTTCTTTGTGAAAACTTCAGCTGGGATAATGAGTGAGTAACTTAATTTGTCAGCAGAGTGCATCATGGGATACACCACATATCACTTCTTTGTTCCTGGCAGGTCACTTTGTTTTAGAAAGAAATGTAGTACTAAGAAGCAGGGAGGAACATAAATTTGGACACACAAAATCCCAGGGACTGTGACTAGGTGGATGTTAGCACATGGCATCAGAAGATCTTCAGACCCTTCAGGCTTCACATAAAAACCCATCTG